GTGGAAAGATTTGCAATTGAATTGGGCAATACACCTCCAAAATAATTCCCATCTAAAAGTAGACCATGTAGATTTGAACAGTTGGCTAATGAATCAAGGAAGCTCAAGTCATTGGCTTTTTTAGTTCCGAGTCGGTTACTTAAAATACTTAGCCTACCTAGATTTTGAAGGCTACGCAAATTCATTGGTACAGACCCACTAAAATAATTTTCACCTATATCAAAGTTAACAAGTGATGAAGCATTAACCAATGATGGTGGAATAGGCCCAGAGAATTGGTTACCACCAACTAAGAAATATTGTAGTTTTGGAAGGGTCAATCCCAGTTCTTGGGGGAGCCTTCCGCTTAACTGGTTGAGAACTAGAGCAAAGACGGAGATGGATGAGATATTGTAAAGCGGAGTAGGAACCATTCCAGTCAAATTGTTGGCACCCAACTGAAGAAACTGTAAGTCGGAAAGCTTTCCAAGCTCAAAAGGAATGCTTCCCTCTAGATTGTTATAACCTAGATCAAGTGTGCGAAGAGCAGAAAGATTTCCCAAAGAAGGTGGGATATTGCCAATGAAAAGATTTTTGGAAAGACGCAATTCTAAGAGATTAGACAATGACCCTAGCTCAATAGGAATTTTTCCTACAAGATTGTTTGAAGACATGTTGATGATAGTAATGCTGGAGCAATGAGTCAAGTTGGTAGGGAACTCACCTTGGAAAGAGTTCTTGTCAAGAGAAAGATGTTGTAGCCGAAACAATCGACCAATTTCTCGGGGGATTGTGCCACGGAAACTATTGTTCTCGAGATGGATCCCTCTAAGGAAGGTAAGATTTCCCGTATGAGGAGACAAGGAACCAACTAATTCCAGGGAAGACAAGTTTAGGATGGCCACCCTCTGATGCCGATGACTACATGTGACTCCTTTCCAACTACAAAAGTGGATAGAATCATTCCATGAGCGAAGGACCTTGAAAGGATCCTCAAGAATTTGATTGCTGATGGCTAACAAGGCTTGCTTGTCCGTCTCGTTTGTGAAGCCGAAAGTGGTACTGGCTGTGGCTTTTGAGGCAAGTAAAATCAAGCTCATAGAAAAAAAGATGTAAAAGAGGATGGAAGATGAACTTAAATACCTTGAAACCATGTCTTTGTGCTTCTGGAAAGCTGACAGGGTGAGTGTAAATGCGCTATGTTGGAACAAAAGCACAAGCCAATATCTCGTATTGTGGTGGACTTGGACAGTCAGGATTGTTCGAGCTTGCTATATAGGAACCTATGTGGCTAGAAATTATGATCTAGTGCAGTTATAGTATAGCTGCTGAAGATTCATAGGATAAACTATGATGGAAAATGAAGGTGTAAGGTGATAAGCTTTGCAAAAAAGTCACATAATGAAGTTAAGAAAACACTTTATTTGCTTTCATGCTGTCCATTGCCATTGAACAATCTGACATTCATAGGAAAAGGAAATGATAAAGATTAATTTCCAAGTAAGTTTGAGACAAATATATAAACTGATTTCACATTCATTATTCTTGAAGTTCTTTTTTCTATTTATTTTCTTTTTGTCTTTTTGGGCCGGTAGAAGATTCTTGGGATATCATGAGATGAAGACGTTCATTTCCTTCCAATATGTCAATTAGCATATATATAGTTTCATGGAGCCAAGTCAAGATAATAAGGCCGACTGCATAAATTCATGGATTGTTAATTTGTTACTAGTGGCAGGTAATTTATTATTTTATTTGTTGTGTCAATTTATGAGAATGACTTCATATTTTTACTCCTGCTTTTGTAAGACATACATACTGTGTATTGGAAGTGAAATATGGGTTGAATATGGGTCTTGACTCATGTTTGACCTGCCCATTTTCAACCCAGCCCAAATCCGACCCAACCCGCCCATTTGCCATCCCTAAATCTAAAGCAACCCTCTCCATACGTACTTGGAATCAAGTAAAGAGAATGACTTTATTTTTAGCTGTTATTTCCTATCACTAGTTCAGCTTGTTTTAATTAACTTGATTGTTGAACTTGAGATGGGTAGTTGTGGAGACTTTGGATAATTAATGGGTACAAGCTAAGGTATTAATAAGGAGTAACCTACATAGTTAATTATAGAGTCTGTTTGGACCTGGGAAAGGTCAAGGGAGCTGGCTGACATTTTTTTCAGTGATAGTTTTGATGAGCCTGTTTTAGCCCAAAAATAAATAAAAACCAAAAAAAAGGGGGCCAACGATCAAAGCATATGAGTTATACTCTTGGCATGATTGTTATTAAAGGCCCATGGCGCACCAAGGCGTTAAAAGTCCTTTGGAGCCTAGGCGCACGCCTGAGTGGAGTGAGGCGCACAATTAAATATTTAAACTACCATAATAACAGTCATATCTCATAAGTCATATCAATATTCTTAAAAATTAATATCAAATATAAAAAAGAAAATCCATGAATTATACAAGCATCCAGCAACCATAAAACAGAGCACAAATTTGTTTTCTTGAAAGGCAAAGCAAAATGTGTTCTTTGAATGCAAAACAAAGCATAAAAAGAAATAAATATGTTAACCAAAAAAAAAAAAGAAGTAAGAGAGATGAGAGAACTAGACAAAGAGAGAGATGTAAACAAAGATAAGAAGAAAGGAGAGATCTAGAGGAAAAAAAAAAAAAAAGGGAATTGATGTGGCTTTGTCGTTCATCTCTGCAATCTCATTCTATCATTGTTCTGTTAACAACTCTTGGGCTTTCTTATTTTTTTATGTTTTTTGAACAAAGGTTCTTTCTATCGTATGATTGAGCTTTCTTTTTTGTTTATTAAGTTGCCAAAAGTACCCTTTTTGGCTTAAGAAATAGAACAATCGTATTTTTTTAAACAAATATCAATGAGGCACGCCTAGGCACACCTTATAAACAGGACGAGACGCAATCGAGGCGTGCGCCTAGTAAACATCAGTGAGCTTGGGATGACAATCGGCGCTAAACCTGAGCCTCTAGCCTAGGCACCTAGGCGCGCCTTTAGCAACACTGCTTGGCATAAGCTGTTTTTGGGCCAAACTCCATCGTTTAGATCCTCAAAATCACAATTTTTTCTTTTGGAAGGTCGTTAAATAATTTGGAATTTTTGTTTGTAGTCTAAACGGAGTTGGATTCTTCTGATTTTTGGTTTTTAGTGATTAGTTTTCTTATCCTATCTTTTCATAATTTTTGGAGAGTTGAATTTTAGGCTTCTTTTTAGTTTGGGTTATGCTGTTAGGTTTTTTGATTTTTAGTAATTAGTTTTCTTATCCTATCTTTTTATAATTTTTTGAGCGTTAAATTTTAAGGCTTATTTTTAGTTTGAGTTATGCTGTTAGGTTTTTTATTTTTTATTTTTATATTTTTTATTTTCAAGCAAACAAACCCACCCACTATATATATTATGCCTTCACTGAAGGTCAACCACTCAACCTCCACTAATGGGAGGAGAGCTTATACCATTTGAGAAGAGGAAAGAAGAAGATTAAAAAAGAAAAGAAGAATGATTGCAACATCAATGATCAGACTCATTTCTAGTGAATTTAATTTATTATCACAAAATTATTGTCATTAATATTCTCAAAACGACATTAAAAACCCTCTAAGTTTGGAAAAAAAAAATCTACAATACCTCAGGGGTACCATACCTTCGGGGCTTCTCAGCCGTTGGATCATGCATCAGGTGGGTCCCACCACCAAGATTTGATTTAAATTGCCTTTTTATTGTTCTTAAAATTCCTCTACTCTTAAAGATCGCATATTATTTTTTAATGTTAAGAAGTGACAATAATAAATTCAAATAATATCAAAGAGTGAATGTTATATACATATTTTTATTCTTTTTTTTTTCTCTCTACCTGTCCCAAAACCGGGACCTAGGACTTAATAGACTTAAAGAGTTAGGGACCCAAAGCCACTTGGGCATCAATTTATATCAGGTCATGCTAATTAGGAGACACATAGATGGGAAAATGAAGAATCAGGACATGACTATTGCGGTTGACTGGGTTCCTTATATGTAGAAGGCTAGGAATAGAAGGATGTTTGCCGAGAAAAGTTGTGGAATTAAAAGGATAAGAGATAAAGCAATTGAGCAGTTCTATTAAGTATCAGGAGGTGAGGTGGGATATATAACACATATATACTAAGTGACTCATAAGGAGCCAAGTTCCAATTCTCAGGTAGATGAATTATCCAATGCAACAATGGAACAACAACCAAGAAAAAAATTAAAAATAAAATTGTAGATGTTGCATATAACAGTGATACCTTTATGATGGTGTTGGATTAGTATTCAAGGATTGGATTGCTGCAGTTAAATGGTTTCAGCATGTAAATGATCCTTACTCAGCAGAGGCTTCAACAATAAGGTGGGCTGTTCAATGGGTAAACAAAATGGGGCAGTTGAGCGGAGTAGAGATCTATTCTTCTTATGTGCAGATGAATGGCTGTTAAGGGAGTGTCAATAAGCTTATCTACCACCATTGATAAGATCATCCAATATATTGTCAATCTTATGAAGATGCAGCATAATTTTTAAGTATACTCTGTGACGTGAGCCAAACAAAGTTGCCCACTTTATTGCTCAAACTGCTTTGAAGTAGAGAGTGAATGTGAATGGTTTAAGAAGGCTGCCTAGTTATGTCTATAGAGTATCGTCGAAATATTAATACATCTAGAAAAATGTTTTTGTTTGCCAGGAAAAAAATATAGATCGAATTTTTGAAAAAACCTAACATAATGTTAAGATAGCTAATTTAGGCAGCTCCTCATAGTCAGAATCCTCTGAACTGTGTCAATGATGATTTCGTATATGTTGATATGGCTCAATGGTGAAGTATTCAATTTATCTCCTTTGTACAAGCAGTAGCTTCTTAGTAATTTCACGAAGTTGAAGATATATAAACATAGCTACAAGAAAATAATGATAAAAGTACATATAGTGTAACTATATCTTCACATATACCTCATTATTCTGAACATTACCTTGTGAACATTGTCTAACTAGGAATTACTTCTTCCATCTCTTTCTCACTCTTTCTCTCCTCTCGTCCATACATAAGAAACGCATTTATAATCTTGTGGAGTTCATTTAGAACATCTGTAATATCCAGCCTTTCTCTTGGTATGTCAGAAGAGCAAATGACTCCAATTCTTAGCACCGATACCAAGCAATCTTTTGTTCTAGCAATGTTGCGTTGGTTGGCCCTTTCAGATTCATCGTCCTCTTCCAATATGAGTAGAGAATCGACAATCCCCATCACTCCATCTGGAAGCGCCATCTTAGCATAGTTATGAGGGCTGAAATTGTCTGTAAACATACTACTAGTTGGCCTTTTTCCAGTAAACATCTCCAGTAAAAGAATTCCATAACTATACACATCACCTTCCGTTGAAACCTCCCCACCCATACCATATTTTGCAATTTGAAACGAATGATAGTGCTTAAATTGTTGAAGTACTTCAATATTTTCTAATTTCTAAATTACTTTCATGATTTATATTTTGATACTGCAATACTACATAAAAATGAAATACTACAATTTAATATGCTCAACTTAGTTATGGAAAATAGCGTCGTATGGCAATTCACCAGGTTGATGTTCAAAATAATTTACGTAATTTCATCTACTCATGATGCAGTGTCAAGGAGGTTCGAAACTAAATAAATACATGGGAGAGGATATACGAAAAGAAATAATAAAAGTTAAAGAATAGACATATAATTGTAAATTACCTGGTGCAATGTAACCAATTGTTCCTCTAACTCCAATTGATGAGCTACTTTGTGTATAATTAGATTTACCATTGGTGGCTACAAGAAACCTTGCAAGACCAAAATCACCTACATGCGCACAAAGATCACTGTCAAGAAGAACGTTACTTGGCTTTAGATCACAATGAATGATTGCCATTTCACACTGATGGTGAAGATAATCCAATGCAGAGGCCACATCGATTGCAATGTTTAGCCTTCGGATTAGGTTCAAATTCTTTGAATTCAGCCGCATGGATGAACTTTGATTCAGTTGGTCAGATGAAATTGGGTGTAACCAGTTCTCTAAACTCCCATTAGGCATGAACTCAAAGACCAAAGCCTTGAAATCATTTCCTATAAAATCTACGCTTGAACAAGATGTGATGATCTTAACCAGATTGCGGTGGCAAATGTTCCTCAAAGCTTCACATTCAGCCAAGAAGTTTTTCTCAAAACCAAGCAGTTGATGGTTGAATACCTTCACAGCGACAATTTGTTCACCAGAGTTGAGGATTCCTTTATAAACAAAACCGTAACTCCCTACACCGATCAAGTTGGCCAAAGAGAATCTGTTGGTGGCTTGTTGAAGTTCTGCATAAGAGAGTGTTGGGCTTTCCCAATATGCAATCTACAGAAGACTTTCCTTTTAACCTTTTGATCTGATAAAGAACAGCAGAAACACTTGTTATCAACAAAATTGTGAAAATAGTTATACTTGTCACAAGAATTAAGTGTTTTTCGAAGATAGACTTGAGGTCGGGCTACTATCAGTTCAGAGTCAGGGATGAGGATATCATTAAGACCACTTTTCGCACACGGTATAGCCATTACGAGTTCCTTGTGATGCCATTTGGTTTGACCAATGCTCTAGCAGCTTTTATGGACTTGATGAACCGTGTGTTTAGTGTCTGTCTTGATGAGTTTGTGGTAGTATTTGTTGACGACATACTCGTGTACTCATATTCGGAAGAGGAGCATGAGTTTCACTTGAGAACAGTGTTACAGACCCTTAGGGATAATCGGTTATATGCCAAGTACGAAAAGTGTGAGTTTTGTCTACCAGAAGTGAAGTTCCTTGGACATGTTGTCTCGGGAGAAGGAGTTTCAGTTGATCCTTCGAAGATTGAAGAAGTGATAGATTGGGAGCGTCCAAAGAGTGTATTTGAGATTCGGAGCTTCCTTGGCCTAGCCGGCTATTATCGGAGATTCATCCAGGATTTCTCTCATTTAGCGGCACCTATTACTCGACTTACCCGCAAGGGAATCAAGTTTGTAGGGAATGAGGCTTATAAGCTAGCCTTTCGGGAGTTGAAGACCAAATTAACTACAGCTCCAGTTTTGGTGATTCCTAAACGTGGTTTGGGTTATGTGATCTATTGTGATGCTTCACGGGATGGTTTGGGTTGCGTCTTGATGTAGACGGAATGGGTGGTTGTTTATGGGTCTAGACAGTTGAAGACTCATGAGCAAAACTATCTGACTCATGATTTGGAGTTGGTGGTAGTGATTTTCGCATTGAAGAGATGGAGACATTACTTGTACGGTGAGAAGTTTGAAGTTTTCTCCAACCATAAGAGTCTCAAGTATCTTTTCTCTCAAAAGGACTTGAACATGTGGCAACGACGATGGGTGGAGTATATGGAGGACTATAATTTTGATTTACAGTATCACCCAGGAAAGGCTAACTGTGATGTTTCCATTTTTCGCCATTTTTTATTTTTTCAGAATTTTGTCGTTGCAAGGACATTTTCGTCTTTTGCCTTTTTTCGTACCTGACACTGTGGAGTGTGCTGGTTGTATCCGAGAGTTGTTTGGGTCATTTCATTGAGATCAGGACTCTTTGAAATGCAAGGGTGATCAATTTGGCATTTTTCAGTTTTACGGGCTGGACGGTTTCGTGTGGGACCCGCTACCGAATTGTTGTGGACGGGGATTTTTGGTTGGGTCCATTTGCATCATATTTATTTTATTTGATGGGTTATATGTGGTTATTGTATAGTTGGTGTATATATATATGTTTATGGTGAGAATTAATAAGAAAAATAAAGTGGGACCCACCACCACCTTAAAGGGGTTAGAGACCACCAATTGGTCTCTCATTTCTCTCTTCTCCCGCTGGTCTCTCTCTCACTCTCTCAAGCTTCCATTTTTCTCTTTCTTTTTACTTCAAAGCTTTAACCTATGATTTCTCCCTCAATACTTGGTATTTTTAAGTGTCGTTTGCGGCAAATTGAAGCTCATGGCGAGATCTACAAGTTGATCAGAGCCAATCTCCATTTGGTCACCATTTAAAGGATCTCAAGATCCTAGGGTTTGGGGAGAATTTGGGACTTTTCATCACTTTTGAGGTAGGAGTCTCTAATCCATACAATCTTGCACCTTTGTGAGTTAATCTTACTTGATTAGTGATCTAGCATGCTAATTTGTGTTTATTTTACCCTAAAATGATTTATTTGTGTATATAAAGTATATGATTTTGTGTGTAGTTGATGTTGTGCAAATTAACATACTTAATTGGTATTACTTCTTGCCTATTGTTCTTAGAATTTACTAAATTTCAAGCATGATGTTCTCTTGGGATTTCTTATGAAATTTTGCTATGTGATATGAACTTGAATTTGGTGAATGATAATGGACAATGACATGACATGGAATAGCATCATGCATTCATGCATAACATTAGGTAAGGAAAATGGGAAAGTTGTTTTGAAAATGGAAAGAAAAGGGGTTTTTGGGAAAAAGTTTTGATAAAAGGATTTTGTGAAAACCCGGACGCCAAGGGGGTACCGAGGGTCTGTGGCATTAGTGTAGCCTAGAGGGAACTAGGGAGATCGCCCTAGCATGGTTGAGTTATCTGGGCCCCAAATGACGCCGCGGGGCTACCAAGGGTCAGGGACAGTAACCAATCATTCTCTCGTGTCGCTAAGGGGGTACCAAAGGACGGGTTACATTAACGGTTTGAAAAGCGAAGAATGGAAGTGATTTTGAGAACGGGAAGCGACATACATAGCATCATACTTTATGGCACGGCATAGTTTATTTTGAATTTGGAATTTATTGTTGTACTCTGTCCCGGCATGGCATGACCCCTATCCTCAATCCCTATTCATTATTTGGATTCACGGGACCACAAGAGGTGTGTCTTAGGCACCACCTACTGAGCAAATTATTCGCCCCATTATTTAACATTTTTCAGGGCCGGGAAAAGAAGTAGTGGATGCCGATCTTCCACAAGCATGAAAAGGATTAGAAATCTATTTTGATACCTTTTGTATATTTCCCATTCTTTTGTAAAGTCTTAAATTCTAGAAAAGAGTATTTATTTTGCAAATCATGGCAATATAATATAACTAAGATACTTGATTATATTTTGATGTGTAATGAGACTATGTAATTACTTGTGTTGAATGGGAGGACGATGATGTATTTTAACAAATTGATAATATCTATTCTTGTGTAATGTTGTATATTTTTGCCGTGAATTTGAAAATTGGTTGCAAAATAGGTCCAGTGTAGGTTTGGTTTTTTTTTAATTATTTTTTATTAAACACAGTCAGAGGCCATTCTAGTGAGTTTAGGGTTCAGGGGCCTAGTTCAGCCGACTAATCCTCACCACCAGCCGACCGAACCCCCAAGTTCGACTGACCGAACCCCCTCCATCAGCCGGTAGACCCTGTAGGTCAGCCAACTGAACCTGCCCTGTTAGCCGGCCGATGAAGGCCCATCAGTCGGCTGATCATCCCCTTTGACCTGCATTAATTGACTTTTGTTGTAAGGTTGTATTCTAAGGTATTTTGAACCCCGGATTGATCTTATGATGCTTTTGGACATAGAAAATAGAGGGTATGACCTAGTTGACCTCGGGTCAGGACAAGGACCCAGTTAACGGTTCGGACCCATAGGTTCAGGTCGTTACACTAACGTTGTGGCAGATGCCTTAAGTAGGAAGTCACATGGAAACTTGGCTAGCATTGCCATCCGGGAATGGAAAATGATGGGGGATTTTGCAGAGATGGGTCTATATTTCAGTGATGATGATGCATTGGCTACTTTATTTAGTCTTGTGGCTCAACCAACCCTTGTTAGCGGGGTAATTGAGGCACAAAAGTAGGATATAGAGATGGAGTCCATTCGCACATGGATTTCAGGTGGCGAGTTTGTGGAGGGTTGGATATTACATTCAGATGGAGGTCTCAGGTTCAAGGGAAAGATGTATGTCCCTTTGCCTTATCGTGATAGTGTCCTTAAGGACTTTCACCACTCTCGACTTACAGTTCATCCAGGTGGTACCAAGATGTATCACAATTTAAGATGCCAGTTTTGGTGGAAGGGTATGAAACAGGATGTTACACAGTTTGTGGCCAAGTGTCTTACTTGTCAACAAGTGAAGGCCAAGCATCAAAGGCCAGTGGGTTTGTTGCAACCATTGCCAGTAGCAGAATGGAAATGAGAGCACATTACCATGGATTTTGTGATGGGACTTCTGAGGTCAAAGAAGGGGAATGACGTCGTTTGGGTCATAGTCGACAGGTTGACAAAGACAGCTCACTTTTTGCCTATGCAAGTATCTGATGATGCAAAGAAGCTCAGTAAGCAGTATGTGGGGGCAGATTGTCAGGCTCCACGGGGTTCCGGTGTCCATTGTTTCGGACAGGGATCCACGGTTCACTTCACATTTTTGGTAAGGTTTTCAGGAGGCTCTTGATACAGGGCTTCATTTTAGCACGGCATTTTATCCTCAGACTAATGGTCAGTCAAAACGTACCATTCAAACATTGGAGGATATGCTACGAGCTTGCATCTTAGATTTTGGAGGCAGTTGGGAAGATCACTTGCCTTTGGTGAAGTTTACCTACAACAACAGTTATCAGGCCAGCATTGAGATGGCACCTTTCGAGGCATTATATGGCAGACCTTGTAGATCTCCAGTTTGTTGGACCGAGGTAGGAGAGACAACTACTTTGGGTCCCGACATTGTTATTAAGACCATAAAGAAAATCAAGTTGATTCGACAGCGGTTGGTCACGTCTCAGAGTAGGCAGAAAAGCTATGCTGACAAGAGGAGGAGACCATTGTCCTTTGAAGTGGGAGACCATGTTTTTCTCAAGATCACTCTACGCAAGGGATTGATGTGTTTTGGGCAAAGTGGCAAGTTGTCTCCTAGGTTCATTGGGCCATTCAAGATCTTGGATTGCGTTGGTGAGGTTGCGTATCGCTAGGTGTTATTGCCACATTTGGATAGGGTTCACAATGTCTTCCATGTTTCTATGTTAAGGAAGTATGAGCCAGATCTGTCACACATTTTGAGATGGACTGACATTGAGATTGATGAGAATGCGACTTACGAGGAGGGGCTAGTGCAGATTCTTAACACTAGGGAGCAAGTGTTGAGGAACAAAACCATTCCATTGGTTAAGGTTTTATGGAGGCATCACGGAGTTGAAGAGGCTACCTGCGAACGGGAGTAGGAAGTTCGCTCTAAGTACCCGAATTTGTTCGCGACTTGAGGTATGACCTGATTTCGGGGACGAAATCCCTTTAAGTTGGGGAGGTTGTGATCACCAAGTTTTTTTTTTTATTTTTTTATTTTTTTTATATTTATTTTAATTGCATTTTGTTATGTTGTGGGGCCTAGGTTGACTAGTTGATGAGATATGTATGGATGAGAATGTGTGTGACATGCATATGTGTGTGTATAGAAAGAGAAAGTGTAAAATAAACTAAAATCCTCTCATTTCTCCCACTCCACCGACATTCTCTCTTCTCTCTCCCATTCTTTTATTTTTCATTTTACTTAAACCATTTTTCCACCATTTCACCTCCAACCT